TAGGTTGGTCTTCTTTTTTTACTGTTGTTATTAAACCTTTAGGGCTTAGTCATACCTTACTGAAAAGCAGTAATGAACGTCAAACAGGTAAAAAAAAAAAAGATGGCAGAACGCAATTTGTTACATATAGTAATACGCTGATGAAACTCCTCCCTCGACCTTGTCGAGGCTCTTATAATCAACGCAGGAAGTGTATAAAACGGATAAAGACCGTACGATAAACTGACATGTACCGTACAAGCAACGGTCAACTAAAGGATTTCATCGTTTCAACAGCGAATGAATACTTTGTAGAATATATGCACAACGCATGAGAAACTAATCAAACGGTTTTTGAACGTTAAACTAGGGTCGTGCGGTCAGTGTCCGTTTTTTTCATTTCTCGATTTTCCACTTGATCCATGTCCAACGGACATCAACGTAAGCAGAACGGTCAACTACAGGAGAGGAAACGCATGAGTTCCGAACAAAACGCATACTTACCATACTTCAAACGGACCATCCATACTTCAAGTGGACATCTTAGTTCGTTGGCGTTCGTCCCAAGTTTTGAAAATGCTCAAAACTTACCACCGGCTAAAACGAACATAACCGGACATGAAACGTATTCACCAAAGAAAAAAACGGACAAGAAACGTACGCAAACAAAGACGAAGGGATAGAAAAATTTTCCATCCGTTTGACGTTCGTTAGCGCTTTCCGGTAAGGTGTGACTGAGCCATGAAGGGATTACCTCGTGCCAGGAAAGTCATATGCTTCACACACAAGCGATGTTGAAAATTTGGGCCAAATTTACTTAACCTTCACATACATTTGTTTCAAAGAATCTATACTACTATATTAAAATAATAGACTCGAATTTTTGGCCTTTAATACCGATAAATCGGAAGAGTTCTGTCTTTTGTTTTATATATTTTAAACATCTTTGGTACTTGAAGATTACCAATTTGTTTTTATTTTTTCTCAATTAAGCTTTGCTAATTAATAATCAACAAAATTCCTCAAAAAATTCCGGAAATCATCTGGATTTTTTGGATTTTACAATCTTGCGCGTGCGCATTACATTCACGCTAAATCACGGTGTTCAAATCAGAGAAGACAAAAGTAATTTGTACTAAGTAGATATATATTTGTTATTTTATAATTTCTCTAATAAGAAATCATAAATATATATGAACAAAATATACAGCAAATTTCCAATGAAAATTTACACGTATTTGTATTATTGTTTTCTGAGTTTATCCATGCAAATGTGATATTGTGGCCACGTGGGTAATCATTCGCTATCTCGGAGACACATTTATTATATGTTATTTATGTCTCTGGCCATCTCAACGGAGGCAAAAAGCTCATGATCGTAGAAGCAATATTAATGTAACTATACCCGATTTTATTTTATCCTTCCTTTCTTTTATGCTTTTTTGAGGGGAAAAGGGGGGTGTGGTGTGTTACAACTCCAGCTAGAATCACATTTTGGTAAAGTTGGCCTTCTTTTTCCGCCAAAAATTACAATAACATTATTTTCATTTCTTAACTTTGAAATATATCGAAATAATTAAATAACGTCAATATAACCGATATTTTCAATTTGAAATGTGTCTAAATGATTGCAACTTGAATTTGTTCGCCATGTTTACTATTACCTTCACTGCTGAGATTTATAACTTCACCTCCAAAAATTTCTTTAACTTTAAAAAAAGTGGGTGAAATATGTAAATTATTGTTATTGATCTTCAGCACGTTATATAGAAGGGACAGCCTGTTCTAGGCTAGATCTTCAAAATATGTCAAGGTTGTCATGGTAACTACGCTTGATAGGTAGTCTGAAGTCAGCCCTTGCGGCCCATACAGTTCATTCTATCAATGCTGCTAAAATATCGATCGTTTGTAAAATATAGGGTGAGTTAACCATGCATTCTCATTGGCTGTCCCAAAATAAAATCGGTCAAGGTCAGTAAACTTTAAAGTTTGCGCTAAACTCAGACTTTACTAAATAATTTGGAAAAAATTATGCTCTGAATAATTAAATCAGAAACATTTATTTTAAAATGTTTCTGATTACATTGTATGATTTCAATTAAAAAATGGAAATTATATTGTATGATCCAAAAAGAGTTGTACCCCCCCCCCCCCCCCGGAAAAGACTTCATTATTGCAGCAAGAAGTACCTTCAAGTTCCTACTTTCCTACTTAGGATATCCTTGCTTGGCTTATCTAAGATAATGATAATTTTTGTATCCCATATATTTTATACTTAGCATAAACAAGAGGCCCATGGGCCACGCCGCTCACTTGAGCAACTAATTTTAATGGTCAATTACTCTAACCCAAACAGCTTTAACAAATCAGAAATATCTGTACAAATTCAGTTTTTTATATTAAATTTTTGAAACATATTCTAACTTTTTTCGCCAAAGATTTTCTTATGTAAAATATAAAGTAAATATTTTGTTCCCCCTCTCCCATTGTGGTTGTACCCTATCATGACCCCTGTGATTGTCATCATCAAATTTGAATGTACATTATATGAATTTACATTCCAGAAAACCTCTCTGGTCAAATAGTTTTGGAAAAGAAAATTCATAAAAAAATTTCCTATAAATACTTCAATGGATACCCCTCCCCCATTGTGGCCCCACCGTACCCCCAAGATTCATGAAAGGTCATGATAAGATTTAAACAAAATTGAGAATGCTTCCACATAAGTTTCAACATTCCTGGCCAAAAGGTTCTTGAGGAGAAGATTTTTAAAGATTTTCCCTATATATTACTATGTAAAATTTCAACCCCCCATTGAGGCCCCATCCTACCCCTTGGGGTCATGAATTTTACAATTTAGAATCTACACTACCTGAGGATGCTTCCACATTAGTTTCAACTTCCCTGGTCAAATGGTTCTCGAGAAGAATATTTTTAAAGATTTACCCAAAAATTTCAATATTTCTTAATTAAAAGGTTCTTGAGGAGAAGATTTTTAAAGATTTTCCCTATATATTACTATGTAAAATTTCAACCCCCCATTGAGGCCCCACCCTACCCCTTGGGGTCATGAATTTTACAATTTAGAATCTACACTACCTGAGGATGCTTCCACATTAGTTTCAACTTCCCTGGTCAAATGGTTCTCGAGAAGAATATTTTTAAAGATTTATCCAAAATTTTCAATATTTCTTAATTATCTCCCCTTGAAAAAGGGCGTGGTAGCTCATTTTAACAATTTTGAATCTCCTTCACCCAAGGATGCTTTGTGCCAAGATTGGTTGAAATTGGCCCAGTGGTTTTGGAGAAGAAGTCGAAAATGTGAAAAGTTTACAGACAGACGAACAGACTGACGACAGACAAAATGTGATCAGAAAAGCTTACTTGAGCTTTGAGCTCAGGTGAGCTAAAAAGTAAAACACATTACATTTGTTGAATCATAAAAGATGAAAAAAAAACTTTCAAATTGGTTACTATTTATTTCGAATTTTCAATAACTATAACAGGTTTAAACACAACTGAAGCAAACATATTGTTTCCAAAAATCGAATCAAAATTATTCAAAAACCGAGGTTTGGGTTTTAATCGAATCGATTCAAAATATTACTAATTCAAGGATATTACATTAATTTTTATCAAAACAGACAGTCATGAGAGCATTTTCTTATATCATATATTTGATAAAGTACATTTGATATTCTTAATTTTTATTATGATCTCTTGAACAACCAGTATTTTTTTTTTTTTTTTTTTTTTTTTTTTTTTGGAGGGGGGGGGGGGTATTTGCAAGATAATCTGTTCTGCTTCACATCTGCTAAACTGTGTAGAAATACCAGTATAGCACATTTGTCCATTTTCATTTCTGCTTTTACAGATTATATACATGTCTATAACCTGTGTACATATAAAGTATACGTATTAGCAGTGCTTAATAACTCTTTTATTGTTGAGGTCATATTTTTAACAAGTTGAGACCTGCAGTGTTAAAATTGTTACAAAATTTATTACACCTTTAGTTTAATAACTGATTGTGTAAAAATTACCAGCTTAGCACATTTCTTCATTTTCATTACTTTGCTTGATATGTATCAGCAGTGCTCAACTCTTTGTTGTTGTCATATTTTCAATAAATATCCATAATTTCTTTTATTAAATTTGTTTGGAAAGGTGACATTTATGTAAGCTCCGGCGTGATTCGAACTCATGACTTGATTTATAGCTAAACTTGGGGTCAAACCCATTCTGCGCTACGCCGTTACGCACCAATTTTAAGGACAAAAACAAAAAAAAAACCCACACCAAAAAACAGAATTATATTCACATTCATTGTTTATTTCAAAAGTACCTTACAATATGAATGTGTCGATGTATCTATTTTGTAAATGTCCGATATGCACATGGATGCATTCATAACAATGTCAACCCGTGCACGCACGGGTCAAAGTCTAGTTTATATTAAAAAAATGATTTGAATTTTTTTACTCTTAACTTTAACAACTAAGGCAGAGCATACTAGTGGGAAGATTTGTAGAAAAATGATAAATGTTACAATATATTAGTGAATCCATGTACAAAACATTTTTGGAATGTTACCATTTTAATACTCTAAATATCATTCAAGATAGGTCAGGGAAGAATTTTACGATGAATTTTGTTCAACATTATTTCTAAATTTTCTAACAATATATTTATGTATTTCCCTTCCTTCTTTAGCCACAAATAGAACCTATAGTTGTATTACACACTATGTATTTGAGAACTGTGTTTCTTGTTGGAGCTTTTATATCGCTAACGGGTAAGACTTTTGAAAGAGTAAACGTAACATAAAAATAATGTTCTGCAAAACAATAAACTATTTATTTCTACCTTTATGATTTTATCAACAGATTCCAATAAATTGACTGTTTTAGAAAAAGGATGTGAAATATATATAACATGGAGTTCCGAGAAATATGGAGAATTTGATATTAGAATAACAAAGGAAAATGACAGCAATTTCCTGTTCAATCTTCAAACAAATGAAGTAAACTTTATATATCATCCAGATGATACAAATGTAAAATACAATATAATATGGTCACCGATAACAAGAGAAAATAACACCAGAGATCGAGTTCGAAAGCTGACGTTGAACAAAACAGCTATGTTTACCGGTTTGTATCTTTTTTGAGAGAGAGAGAGAATACTTTTGGTTTTTCTGCATAACTAATTTTTTATTCTGCAAAAGAAATTTAAACAAAGTTCATTTTTAAATTATTAGATTTCTATGAAAAATGTCTTTAAAATGTATTTCAAAAAATATTATCAAAGACATTTTAACATTTATATTTTACATTTTGCCTTAGAATGTCTGTCACCTATAACCACTTATTCATCGGCCGCTACTACACCTTGTATTTCTGGTGAGCGTCTTGGATTTTAAACCATATGTATAGCCCGCCTTTTTTGGCGGATTAGGACTTACAAGGCATACCATTAAATATAATTGAAATCATTTTTGCAAGTCTTGTTCCATTCATTTGGGAATGTATCAAAAGTGTGAAAGTAATGTTTGTTTTATTAGGTTTGGCAAAAAAAATGTACTCAGGCATGAAGGAATTTTTTTTTTAATATTACAAAAATGTGCATATTCACCACGAAATCAAATTTGAATTATCGAAATTTCTTAAGTTGAGGGAAGACATTTTATTTTTAAGATTAAAAGAAAACATTACATAATTTTCCTTTTAATGTGACAATTTTAAGATTTTGAACATTAAGCAGACTTCTTTTTATTTAGATTTTTATCGTATTTATTTCTGGTCATCCGTCGTTACGATTCCTGTTTTGATAGTGGTTTCTACAGCTATCTGTGTATACTTGTTCAAAAATCATGGTAAGTAACATATGTATTACCTTTTGATAATGAGTGCATTCAAAGTAATTATGAATATTCGACTGAATAAACCTTACATGTATGTCATTTTAGGATTAAAAAGAACTAATAAAGAACCTAGCTCAAGGTACGACTTACTTATTTTATTTGGCATGTTACATTCCATATTTCCTTTTGATTTAGTTATGGGGTGGCTTATTGCTTATCATTTTAAAGATATATATTCTTTTCATTTTGCAGGCCAAACCTAAATGTTAATTCTACGTGTTATAACAACCATGGTGCGAACGAATATGACCAAGTGCGTTATTCCCTTATGCAAGACACTAGATTTTAATTATCATTTTTATAAACTTTAGAAAATACTTTTTTCATAACTTGATCATTAAGGTTTGCTCTTAACCATACTTTCAAAGGAATGGAACATAAAGTGATTTTATTCTTCCTTATTTACTTGAAATTAGTAGATTAACTCAGGGCATTGAAAACATAACAACGGGAGCCTTGAGGTAGGGTTTATCAACTCAAAAAAACCTTTTCTTAAAGGAACTGTAGTAGGAAAGGAGAAATGAAAAAAGAAAATGTATGGCTGGAACCCTGCATCTCTGTAGAACTATTCATGTTCTCTACCACTGAACCAGTCCACCTATGTCGTGTTGCCCTAAATTCCACATTCCTCCCTCCTTAATTAGCAGTATTTGGCCTCGAAGACACAAGTTTACGGGCCCTGTTATGACTTACTAATTTACATATAATCTGAACATCCCCACCCCACTGATTACGAAGTGTAGTAAGAAAGGAAGTATAAATAAAGAAAATATGAAATGTGAAGAAAACAATTCACAAAAGTCCATTTGAACAATTATACAAATATGAGCAGAACCACTGAAACAGAGGTGAGACCTGGTGGCATGGAGAAGTAACCATCCCCTGCCACCGGTCACACACGCAGTGTGCTCCTGTGCTCATGATCGGGTACACGAAAAATCCTTAAACAAATAATGGATATTGAAATATACTGAAGATATTGAATAAATGTCTTTTCCTAACAATATATCCAAATATGAATCAGATATTTGAGACTCTGTGATGTCTTTCACTTCGAGTTCAAAGGGATATATTGAATCAATGTAGGAATGGAAATAAAAGTTGTTAATTGATAAATCGTCGTGATATATCTAAAAGGCAAATTGAAAGCCACAGCGAGAGACTTTTTTGCTAAGACCTTTTCAATAAATTCTGCTTTAAATGAATATAAAAAATATCTGCTAATAACGGGCACAATTAGTACCAATGGAAATTCCAACAGATTGTTTGAAGACCTGATTTCCGAAAACCACATATTTTCAATGAGAAACTTAAGCATTTATCATTTTAATATCAATCTCGGAGCTCTTGTTTGTAAAATCAGATTTTTTTTAACAAAATAAGTCTGCAGATGACTAATATGACTGGACCGACAATCGAACCCGGCACCCCTGTACTAGTCAGGTGCTCTACTGCTGAACTATCCAGCCCGGTTCCACGGTCAGTGTAGCCCTAACTTTCATTGGAACAATAACTCGAGTTTTCTTTATACCTTCAATAATGAAAAAGATTAGGATAACGTTCTTATAAAATCTAGTTCTAAAAAAAAATCTACAAACGAGACAAATCTGTGAATAGAGCATAAAACACGTACCCCCGAAAATTCAGGAGGGATCAGTTGCCTAGGAGGAGTAAACATCCCCTGTCGGTCGGTCACACCCGCCGTGAGCCCTATGTATTGATCAGGTAGAAGGAATACTGCGTAGTCAAATAAAGTTTAAAGACGAAGGCCAATTGGTATGAAACACGTCAGCCAAAATACGACCAAGTGATAGATTATACTTGCTAACAAAGCCATTATAACGACCATAAAATTTGCAAATGCTGACTTTGGGGATTGTTGAAATCCCTGCAACATCAACTTATCTTTCAGTAGCCTGCCTCGGTTTAAAACTTGATCGTGCTTAATGAATGGCAGATAATTCAAACGTTTTAAAATGCTCATTAGAAATAATATCCATCGATTGATTATAGTTTTTGAACGCTTAGGAGATTATTCAAGCTATACTGTAAAAATAAAAAAAAAATAGACTGTATCTTTTCCGAATTGTAGTACATGTCAATTGAATGTCTGGAAATAAAAGAAATTATTGTTTTATGTTGTTATTTTTAATCCTTATGGTCATATAGTCTGCAATTTTGCATAATATTTACTATGTGATTGAAGTTGAAAATATGGTATTGACAAGTAGGAAAAAACTTATTGAACGACTCTGCTTTTGTTTAAATTAAAACTTCCTTGAAAATCTACTTACCGCTATTTTTAGTTCTCTTACATAGTGTTTCGCTTAAATTGAGGCATAGTTTTGATCTTTGAATGAATGTAGAGTTGCCGAGGTCGGAAAACTGCATTTTAAGTAACTTTAATTCCATTTTTCCCTTGAGATCTGAGGTGTGGAATTTTGTAATTATCAAAATTCGAAATCTTTAAGGAGAAATAATGTATGTTCAGTATTTTTAGCTCACCTGAGCTGAAAGCTCAAGTGAGCTTTTCTGATCACCCGTTGTCCGTCGTCCGTCCGTCTGTCCGTCCGTCCGCCCGTCTGTCCGTCCGTCCGTCTGTAAACTTTTCACATTTTCAACTTCTTCTCAAGAACCACTGGGCCAATTTTAACCAAACTTGGTACAAAGTATCCTTGGGGGAAGGGAAGTTTAAATTGTTAAAATAAAGGGCCAAGTTCTCTTACAAGGGGAGATAATCAAGAAAAGACAAAAATAGGGTGGAGTCATAAAAAAATCTTCTTCTCAAGAACCACTGGGCCAGAAAAGCTGAAACTTATGTGGAAGCATTCTGGGATAGAGTAGATTCTAAATTGTTAAAATCATGACCCCCAGGGGTAGGGCGGGGCCACAATAGGGAATCCAAATTTTACATTGAAATATATAGGAAAAATCTTTAAAAATCTTCTTCTCAAGAACCACTGGGCCAGAAAAGCTGAAACTTATGTGGAAGCATCCTGGGATAGAGTAGATTCTAAATTGTTCAAATCATGACCCCCGGGGGTAGGGCGGGGCCACAATAGGAAATACAAGTTTTACATTGAAATATATAGGAAAAATCTTTAAAAATCTTCTTCTCAAGAACCACTGAGCCAGAAAAGCTGAAACTTATGTGGAAGCATCCAAGGGTAGTGTAGATTCTAAATTATTCAAATCACGACCCCCGGGGGTAGGGCGGGGCCACAGTAGGGAATACAAGTTTTACATTGAAATATATAGGAGAAATCTTTAAAAATCTTCTTCTCAAGAACCACTTAGCCAGAAAAGCTGAAACTTATGTGGAAGCATCCAAGGGTAGTGTAGATTCTAAATTGTTCAAATCATGACCCTCGGGGGTAGGGCGAGGCCACAATAGGGAATCCAAGTTTTACATTGAAATATATAGGAAAAATCTTGAAAAATCTTCTTTTCAAGAACCACTGAGCCGGAAAAGCTGAAACTTATGTGGAAGCATCCTCAAGTAGTGTACACTCTAAATTGTTCAAATCATGACCCCGGGGATGGGGGGGGCACAATAGGGAATCCAAGTTTTACATTGAAATATATAGGAAAAATCCTTAAAAATCTTCTCAAGAACCACTGGACCAGAAAAACTGAAACTTATGTGGAACTCCTGGGGTAGTGTAGATTCTAAATTGTTCAAATCATGGCCCCTGGGGGTAGGGCGGGGCCACAATAGGTATTACAAGGGGGAAAGTCTGGTAATGAACAGCATGGCCAAAGTTACTCAGGTGAGCGATGTGGCCCATGGGCCTCTTGTATTTTATCGAGGTAAACCCTTTTGATAATCACACACTATTTGTTAGCGAGCTAACATTTTACAAAATGTCAAAAATTATTCTAATTTATTATAACAACACATGCAATATTTTGCAGGAATGTGAATTGTCAGTTGAGAACTGAGACATTTCTTACTGTAAACAAAGCAGAATGTTGATTCTACATATGAAAATGAAATTCTGAATTGCGTTGATAGTTTCTGGAGTTAGTGTTAAAGCGTACTGCAAAATTTGTCAAAATTAATTCAACAGGAAATAGCTCTTTTCGTGCCTATTTATTTAAATACATGTACTTTGTACTACTTCCTAGTTCATATTTATTTTGTGAAGCACACTCATCGATGGAAAGTTAGAGATATGAAGAGATTGCACCATACGGATGTTGTCAATATCACAAATTAATTCATGATTTATTTAGAAGTATACATGTATATCACATAGTTTATGGTTCTTTCGAACAACTTTAAGAGTGAAAGATGAAACAACGCATTGGAATATATCTTATATTTTTCTTTGTTCTAGAAAGGTTTCTCATATTTTTTTTTCAAATAGTTGTTTCCTTCTACCTACAGAAGACCTAAAGAATAAAGAGGCAGAGAGCTTAACAATATAACCATTCATCCTTTAACTTTTTCATTAACCAACTCTTAGATTAGGTATTCTTTTTTTAAAAGATTGACTTATACCTTTAACTTTTCAATCGTCAACTTCCCTTACTTATGCAGCAATATAACCTTATCACCTGCATACGGGGTTTATATCTCTCAGTTGATTCGATACGCTAGAGCATGCTCTACGTATGAACAATTTCTAAAACGAGATAAGTTATTAACAAACAAGTTGATGAAACAAGAATATCAGCAGTCTCGTTTAAAGTCATCATTTCGTAAGTTCTATGGTCGATACAATGACCTTGTCAACAAATACAATCTTTCTCTAAGTCAAATGCTGACAGACTTTTTTCATACTTATTGTTAGGCCATTATTTACGCACTGAATTGTCGACGGATTTTTCCGTTATTTCCCGATGATGACAAGGAGCACACGGCGGGTGTGACCGGTCAGCAGGGGATGCTCACTTCTCCATGGCACTTGATCCCACCTCTGATGTCTTAGAGGTCCGTGTATGCTCTGCTCCTATTTTGTAATGTTTAATGGACCTTTGAACTACTCGAATACTTTTCGTTATCTCCACATAATTTCACCTTATGGGGACATATTATGTACAGAGACACATAACTCTAACAGAGTGAACGATGGGA